TTAATTACTCAAAATATATTTAACCGGAAATTGAACCAGGATATCCACATTTAGCAACTAGCGTGGCCCCTCTGGCCACCACAACAACTGGAACCATAATTGCGAGAAGAAGTTTTCTACGGTGTTTGTTTATTCTACATTTGTGTAAAGATTTAGAATTAAATAAATAAAAAATATAAATATTATAATAATATTATCTAATAAAGATAACTTCAGCAACAAACTCATACATAACATATGCATGACGTATAAATTTGTCATAAAAGCTGAATTTAGTTGTTAGTGGTTTAAAATTCAATAATTTAAGAGTGTGTAACCTGTTTAATAATATAAATATTGTAATAATATTGTCTAATAGAGATAACTTCAGCAACAAATTCGTACATAACATATGCATGACACATAAATTTGTCATAAAAGTGTAATTTAGTTGCTAGTGGTTTAGAATGAAATAATTTAAGAGTGTATGATCTGTTTAATAATATAAATATAACAAATAATAATATAAATATTATAATAATATTATCTAATAGAGAAAACTTCAGCAACAAACTCATACTTAACATATGCATGACATATAAATTTGTCATAAAAGTGTAATTTAGTTGTTAGCTACTGTATCCTAAGCAGTCGATTAAGATATAAAGTGCCCTATAATTATAAACTCGTAACATATTAAAGCTATTAAAATTTGCGACATCATAGATATTTAGGTTACACACGAACGTATATAACCGAGATTTTCTTTATACGAGTGTTGTTTTTAATAGTAAAAAAATTATGAAGAACCCATAAAACAGTTTTAATTTGTATATAGGTATAATGTCAGAGTTGTTATATGTATCGATTTCAAATTTAGACGGAGTACAGATTAGATCAATAGATCATATTTCAAGTATTACAATTTTTAAATTTCTGTTATTATAAATGTTTTTAATAACACAATTTCGTATTGTGCTTCTTCTTCCACTAACAGTAACAACAATGATATTCATTACAGTCGATAATACTTGGTACTTGGTACTTGGTGCAACGGGCTGGTATCGACAATATTCATTAATTCGAAAACAGTAAAAAGAAAAGAGCAACTTCCGCTACAAATGTGAAAAGGAACAAAGAATGGGAAAAAAGTACTATTGTCACAGAAAATAGATCTGTAATCTCTGGCTAAATTTTTTAAGTGGCCATAATCACGAAAAAAAAAACAATAAATCAAATTCTAATTATTCCAATAAAATAAATTATATATATCTAAAGTTTGCACAATAAAAGCAGGTAGGTACTTTGTTAATGGTTGCATAAATATTTATCAATTTACAATTCTGCACGTTCATTTATTACAAATGCAAATCATATGACAGCGGTGAAGGGATAACCGTGAGGGACCATCATTACTTAATTGGTTATTTCACGTACATCATTTGTTACCATTGTACAAAACCAAACTTTATTTCAGATATATTTTAATGTTTTTCTCCTCAATAGTGGTCCAATTCCTAATGAAAACCCCTATGATATTCCAAAGATTTGCACAAAGCGTTCCGCTTCCACATATATCCTACGTGCATATCTTCAATGACTAACTAAAGCTATAAATGGTATATTCAATATAAAAATCCAAATCTGGCTAATCTCATTTGACTCAGCCTACATTTGGTGAGGTGCTGTTGCAATAAATATGCAAGAAAATAGTTATGAGTCTGCATGGACCTTAATATACTATATGCAATAAAGAGAAGAGTGTTATCTAATTATGTTAAACCTAAATAAATAACGTTTGAATTTACGACATTATTTTTAACTTCTACAAGACCTTAGGTTCAGATTATTTATTATTCATTTTTATTTTTTGTTTTTTTCAAAATCGATTTATTTCTTCAAACTAAGGTCTGGTAGGGAAAGAAGAACATACTTTATTTTGAGTCAAATATTTTGACTGACGTTTTGACTTTGATGTTTTGAAGACCAGTATACTAAACTTGCCTTTGTTAATCAGCTTTACATGTTTTAACAATCATCACTCTAAATTCAATACGTTCGATGTATTTGCGTACAAATTGTACTAACATGTCTCTTCCGCCGAAAGGTATGAAAGTTATACTTTTTAATTAAAAAATAAGTGCACATTTGAATTTCATCTCACCTGATGTAAAATGACGATGAAGCCGACGTTCGTCGTCGCATGCACATCTAAATAATGCCTATTCACTCTCGCCTTGAAAAGGCCCAAGTTATGCCATTGAAGGAACAAGTTCGCAGACAAGGAATTCCACTCCATATCAAAACGCTTCGTGCGAATCCTTGGAATATCCAAAACACAGGGGAAGAACCCCAGCTTACGTCTGGTAAGATAATAGTAGGTATGATGTACGGTGGGTGTGTTAGGTTAGGTAATGTATACCTCGTGTTCTCAAAGTTTCACAGCTGTCAAATCTATTTTTACAGCCTTTTAGATTTGAAGCGTCGTAGTAACATCTCTTTAAAGTTATTTAAACAAATTTATTTTTAACCGACTTTAAAAAAGAGGAGAGGATTCCACATTTGTGAACCGATTTTTTGGTCGAAAGAGGGTACTTCGGTATTGATCCCATTTAAATTTGAAGAAAATATTCCACTTCTAAGATAGCAAATTAGGGGATGAATCCAGTTTCGCCCACTTTCCGGTAAATGTGTGTGAAAGTATAGTGCTAAACACTTTAAGTTATGAGTTAAGGTTTCAAGTCCCTCTTCCCCCGGTGTTCTTCTTCCCCACCTAACCAAATTTAGTGACCAATACAAAAAAATAAATAGTTTTAAAATTAAGAAAAAAAGTATCAACCGTGGTAGGTACCGAATCTATTACATTACATTAATAATCTACAAGGCGTCGAAGTATTTAGCTTATCACTTGATTATAATTTTATGCGAATATATATATAATCGTAAAAGTACTTATTTTTACGATTATATATATATTCGCATAAAAACCTTTATCCATGTTGGCTGACAGCTCAACGTAATGAGCAGCTCATTGTCGATGCATCGCGACTACAGTCCGGGCAAGGTCTCGATGAAATCGCTCTTAAATACTAACTTATATTTGCGGATCATACACATTCTAGACGATCCTTTTGTCAATTGGTTCTGATTACTCTCATAATAGCAATAAAAGACTTGGAATTAAATACATATATAGACAAAGCCTAAAACATAGAGACTAACAAAATGTAACAGTAGAGCTCCTTGTGAAAGAGTTCGTCCAGGGTAGGACTCCCACCTTACCTATTTCTATCGCTAAGCAGTAATATCAGCATTACTGTGTTCCGGTTTTGAAGGGTAAAGGTGCTGGTGAAATTAAAGGCACATGGGACTTGTCACCTTACCTATGTCTCAGAGTGACGGGCAAAGTGGTAGTACTCGGATCTTTGCAATCTAAAGATCTGGCACTGTAACTGTTATGGACAGGCGTGTAACTTACCATCAGCACGACTTGTTCGTCTCGTCACTTGATGTTATAAAAAACAAAAAAAACACTGACTGTTGGTTTATGTTCTTTTTGGGACTTTGGGACTTGTCAACTGATGTCTCAGGGTCACGATCGAGTGGCAGAGTCCCTCAGATCTTAGCTAGATCTAGAGCTTATATCATGAAAAGAAAACATGCGTTATCAGCATTTAATCGAATATAGATCGATACCTCTCACGTAAGTCGTTGTTAGTCAAAATACCATTTTAACTTAAATATATCCTTTTTTTTTTAATGTATATTATACGTTCCTTAATTAAACGTAAAGAAATCACTTAATGTTATTTTTACTTACAAACATTGAACCTAATATACACAAAAGAATATATTAAAGTCATAAAACAAAAAAGAAACATATTTTAACTAACAACAACTTACGTGAGAGGTATCGAGATATTTTACCACTGTATGAGCTCTGTCTTATTATAATTAAGACTAGCCTTTACCGTCCTCCTCCTGAGTATATTCCCCACCCTTATTTATTATATATTATAGAAAGATAATATTAGAAAGATTATATTATTATAGAAAGATAATTGATGCTAAAGAAAGTCTGTGTTTATTACTCGAGTATCCAAAAAAATATTGCTAGGATATTTTAAGATTTTTCATTCGCATAATAAACTTTGTAATAGTGTATGCACGTATCTGGAACGCGATCCGCAAAAACACGATGACTTTGTATGCACGTCAAGCGAAGTAAAGATACATAAGTCTCATTTAATTAATGCCAATTTAACTAGGCAAACGCCAACATGTCAATGCTGCGATTGACATAAGTAACATTTGGTATTTGATATTGTGTTCAGTATAGTTGTTTTTTATGACCTTATACTGCTGGATATTATGAAACTTGACATGCTCTTGACCCTGTACGATAGCTGCTGGATACATAAATACAAAAACAAAAATAATCATGACTGTGACTTAATTATCGTGGCTTAGTTGGCATAGAGTCTGATACGGTTTGCTGGAAGACCTTAGTTTGAATCCAGCCGGATCAACTTAACAATAAACTTAAAAATTACAATTATAAAACCGACATCTCTAGTCAGCTGCTGGTAGCCACAAAGTTACCTGGCTGAGTGATGTAATAGATTTCTCACAGATGGCGCTAGGGGAAAGAAATCGTTAAAAACCATAAACAAAGATCTGCAACAAGTACATAAAAAAATTCGTTCCGCTAGTTCGGTCCGTGGCTTAGTTAGCATAGCGTCTGGCACGACGGGAAACGTTGGGTCAAAACCAGCCTGCTCGAAGGATTTTTTCTTAGTGTTCGATGTTTGTATTAATAATTATAACATGAGTATTACAGTAGATTAGTGTATATGTTAACTATATATAGAGTACAGTAAACAAGAAAAATGTTGTATAATATCGCATAATGAAATCGTATATTCAACGTGCTGGTATTCAAAAAATGTCATAAAAACAGATTATATCGCTTAGGCTCGAAGTAATTATCAACTTTTTTGATTATCTTTTGTTGGTTTCAGATGTGTACTACGAAAAACAACGTTATGATGGCTGGTTCAACAACAGAGCATACCCTGATTGGGGATCAGTGGGTGAGTTCTAACTTAACACATTAACTTAGTTTTAACTTAGTTATATTTTCGATTAGGAATAAATTACCCCTTTACTTTTCATATATCAATTTAATCTACAAACTCTTTAACCCTTTATAAAAAGAGACTGTTCACAACCTAATTTCCGTGGCAATTTTTATTGATTGTATGCACGTCAAGCGGAGTAAAGATACATAAGTCTCATTTAATTAATGCCAATTTAACTAGACAAACGCCAACATGTCAATGCTGCGATCGACAGAAGTAACATTTGGTATTTGATACCTAATTTCCGTGGCAATTTTTATTGTTTATCGTGCAATATGATTTCATAATTACATGATAATGTTTAAATAATAAAAATTGCCACGAAAATAAGCTAGTGAACACTAGTCCGTGAATTATCGATTTATCACCGGTGTTACCAGATGATTAACATGTTACATTTTTCGTAACTTTGGAGCCTCTCATTTAACTTTGGTTTTAAGACAATTTTCGTAACTTTTGAGAACGCTGAGAATTTTGTAATTCAACTGAATAAGTATATTTGTTATTTGTAAATCATAAATAGTTTACGAACGCATCCAAATTAGTCAAAAAAGTAACGCAAAGATGGCACAAACAAAATGCAATCAATCTTACTGGTTATAGCTTGGTTTTCCTTGGGCGTATTTACTTTTTATTTTTAGGATTTAAGTCGAACCAAACCTAACGCAACGTATACGAAAAAAATACATCATTAAAAATTTTAAACTGCACGACCTCGCCTCAGTTTCGATAAATGGTCCATTCCAATCCCAGATGACACTAGCCGAAAACGCTGCATAGCACTTTAAATGAAAATACTTAACAGCCATACGATTATTGGCTATAGTAATCGAAAACAATGCGTGATAAAAAAATATTTTGCACATTTATATATATAACATAACCCTTTCCATTAAATTAATTGGGATACAAATATATACAGGGTTATATGTAAAATGCTAACAACCTCACAGGACTATATTACTAACAACTACTTTCATCCGATTTTACTTTCGTACAAAAGTAAAAATCACTCTAAACGGTGAGAACTCTACGGTAACAAAAGAAAGCCCTACAATACAAATCCGATACAAACGGGGAGTATGCTTGCACGTTTGAACTTACTACTTTACTACCAAATACAGATCTAAAATATGCCATATAGAGATTTAAAAGTTTGTTTTGGTAAAATTGTTATATTTTGTAAAAAGTCATGGAACGAAAATTGTTTTTTTTTTTATGTTAGTAATACAGTTCTACGAGGTTCTTAGTATTTTACAAATAACCCTGTATATTACAGCCTGTTTTCTATTACTTCCATATTGCAACATATCTGTGTAACTTTCTCCGCACACTAACAATACTAATATAATACTTAAGTATAATTAATTACCTATTTAAGTTTATAAAACACACATCTTGTATTTAACTCTAAAATTGATGATAGCTTTCTCGGTATCATACTGCGAATGATCACTATAATTTTCATATTGGTATAATTCTCGGGTGAAAATTTAATTACACACTGTAGCTTTAAGAAGCTTAAATGTGATTTTAATAGCACGTTGCTATTTACATTTTGGACTTATGACCGTCTTCGGAGCCATAGTCAATGATGTAAGGAGTTAAAACCTTGTCGATTTATTTAAATGCGTCCATATTTCTTGTAGCTGTTACGTGATTATTGTTCTGAGAAAGAAAATTTGTTCTCAGTAGTGTGTTTTGTGGTAAGATGCAATCTAAAAGTTATTTACAATATATGAAAGTCGAAAGTTGTAATTATCAACCCGAAGTCGTAACATAGAACCACTTGTTCTTTAAAAAAGTATGCATTGTAAAGGTCAGTAGCCACACGTGACAGGCGAGTTAACAATCCTTAGTAACTCTACGATATAAACGGAAAAGAGCTACCCTCGTGAATGAAATTTTAGTAGCAGTAGAGCTCCTTGTGAAAGAGTTCGTCCAGGGAAGTACTGGACGAACTTAGTTAAACAAGGAGCTTAGTTATTTCTTTACTTATTTCTGCCGCCAAGCGGCAACGCTTACATTACAACGTTCCGGTTTTGAAAAGCAAGGGTCCTGGCGAAATTACAGGAACACAGGGCTTGACAACTTATGTCTCAGGGTGACGGGTGCAATGACAGTGCCCCTCAGACCTTTGCGATTTAAAGCTCTGAGCGACACTGCAACTGCTATGGGCAGGCGTGTCCCTTACCACCAGGCGCACGACTTGTTCATGCTGTAACTTGGAATCATAAAAAATCATCCATTAAGACTGATGTACATTCACCTAGAAGCTGACTTCAGCGTCACTGAAAACAAATGCTGAATTCGCTATGAACTCCTATCCTATCGCGACAGCCACTCTATCCAATTCCAACGCGACATATGGACACTGGCTTGGACTGAAACGTGTTTAGTACCAATTCAGCTATAAAATTCAACATTCACGTTGAAAAACCAAATACAAAGAAGACACGACAACAAGCACATAGAACAATTCGTGAGGTCCGCTGGTTCGTTCCGTGGCTTAGTTGGCATAGCGTCTGGCACGGCAAGCTAGAGGGCGTCGGTACGAATAAGACCGGATCCAAGGAATTTTTTCTGAGTGTTCGATCTTTGTATTAAAATTAAAACAAAAAGTGGAGTAATTTGACATGAAAAGTAATTGAATATCAATTCAATAAAAAATTAAATTGAACATTATTTAGTAGCTTTCGGTGTCCACGGGAATCCACAATATGATTCCTTTTTAACGATAATTGCAATTTGAAATGCAGCACCGGCGCTAGCCCATGTAGCGCCCGGGTTTAATCAATACCCGAAAATTCGAGTGCCAATGGTGCAATTATAAAATGATGTTGGAAAGCCATAGTCCGTTTTCTTCGCTTGCGCCGCGAGTGACGCTGCCTTTTCAGTGGCGTCGCGAGAGGCGCGAGAGGCGCCCATTAAGATCCTTTAAGGGGCATTTTTGAGGCATTTTTAAAATAATACTAAGTGACAGGACGAGCAAGTCGTGTTCCTGGTGGTAAGCTACATGCCTGTCCATAATAGTTGCAATGCTACTCAGGGCTTCAAATCGCAAAGATCTTAGGGGCACTGCCACTGCGCCTGTCACCCTGAAACATAACAAGTTCCATGTGCCTGTAATTTCACCAGTAACCGTACCCTTCAAAACCGGAACGCAGTAATAGTCACTTTACTGCGTAGCGGAAGAAATAGGTAAGGTGGTAGTATTTCCGTGGACGAACTCTTTCACAAGGAGCTCCACTGCATCGTAGGTAAAGCCGGCACTAATTAAATGCAACTCTAAATTAAATGTATTTAAACAAATCATAAAATAAAAGCCAAATTTGTTACGCCTAATCCACAAACCACATTTGCCATTGAGTCAATCAACGATATCAATGTCACAATTGACACGAGAAACCGAAAACAATGTTTGAATCAATGACTATCATAAACTATATAAGGTATCAAGTTACTATGCCACCGTTACGTTCATTGTCAGCTGTATATTGTTTGAGACGTTAATCAGCCACTTAGGTTTGCTAGTTGATTTATCTATCGACCTTGTTTTAATCTTTTTCGAAGAAAAATTAGCCTCTGAACAAACTACTGTTTAACCAAACGTGTTAAATGTATTGTTTTCAACCTTGAACTTTTTAGTATTGTTTACTGCTATTAGTTTATCCATTATAGTACAGTTAAATTGTAATTCTAGTGTAAATCGTAGACTTTTAGTTAGTTCTTCGCGTTTTTAATAAAATGTTAACATGAGGTATTAAAACACTATTTTGTAACAGGCGTAAATTGTAGTCTACAACTCCATCGAATTAAAAGACTTTCCACGTTATAATAAAAATATGGGCTGCAATTTTTCTTGACAAATAGTTCACATCGCTATATCCTAAAATGCACGTAGCATTTTATAAGAAAAATCAAAGAACTCACAAAAATAAGCTCCGTTAAAGTATCACTGTATTTCAAAAAGATATCATGGACATAAAAGAAGGGATTTAAAATTTTAGAGCATAGTTTGTCAGAAAAAGAAACATCGCATGACCGAAAACAGCATCCATATTGTAAATCTGTTTACTTTAATTTTGTAATACACGAAACTAGTACTAACTAAAAAAATACCCATATAATTTACAATTATATAATTTCAGAAAAAAAATTAGTATATTTCCAATCAAGACTTTCGCGATTGCTACGCATTGGAAATGAAACTTTTTTTTCGGAACTAAATCGCGTATACCGGTTTTCTTTTAAAAGAAACCATCGTTTCACAGGTCCCATGGTCTTGGCTAAAGGGTGAAAAAAATTTCAATTCCATGACTTGTTGCTTCAATTTCTGTGATCAGCTGGAATTCAAACTTCCACTTTCCAATGTTTGTCCTTTTGTAGCTTCTTTTTTCAAAATTATTTCACTTATTTTAATTTTTTTTTTGACAATTACGTATTCACGAAACGCCTGACAAGAACTGCATAATAATAAAAATTATATGTACCAACAAAAATCTGAGTTAAACACTCTGAGTTTATTGATAGAGGTGACCTTACACCTCAGAAAAACTGTCTTCCCCAAGTCAAAAATATTGATGAATATCAATACCATATATAGAGGAATTTAAAAGTACGAAAGACAGGTTTCTTTAATGTGTGTCAATAACTGGAGCAGAGCCGCAGATGGAAACTTGTAGGACACGTAAGACGTGTAATTTATCCGCCTCTAGGTCATGAAATCTTTTAAAAACATAATATTCACGTAACATTGGACTTGATAAAAACATAGTTAGTGCTGAGAAATTTTTAAAAGATAAATTCTTATCTTTTAAAACGAATATTCTTATTTTCCTATAAAATTTAATTACATTTCTACGTAAATCTATGACTATAGAGTACAGGTGTTGCCTGCTATTATTAATATTACTTGCATCATAACAACGTAGCGGATTATGACTATGCCT